GGTTTAGTTACAGTGCTGAGACCACCAGAGGTATACTTAGAGCAATTATATATATATATATATATATATAATATAAAAAATCCACCAACCCACTAAAAGCAGGGGCTTACAAGATACCTGCTGCCGCAGCAATGACATTTCCTGCACTGACATGAGGGACACTGCTACTAATTCATCATATGTTTGTGTATACAAAGCAAACTTGAGCTGTTTAGAAAGTCCTAAAGCAAGAATGTTCTCCCAAGTCCTGGAGATACTGATCAGCATTAGTGCAATAATAACCAACACTGACTAGGAAGATAGGGCAAATATGGAGTTTTAATAAGTCATAAAAGAAACATCCCCAGCTAAAAATCCATTGCCAGCTAATATATTTCATGCTAATACAAGAGTGATGTGAGCCTGGTAAGACACGGGAAGAGTAAGACAGGAAAGAACATGAATGCAAAGCAAATGATGCCAATACCTTATGCGATTAAAGGATCTGCTTTTCTCCTGACGCTGGACGCGCCCGTCCCTGTTTAAATCTTACCACAAAAGCCCCCTGTGATGAACCAGAACAAGTTTACCAGCATGAAGAGCAAACGAAAAAGCGAGGGAAGAGTGGATCTGCAGCCTGACCTCTCAGGGCAGCCCCAGCCATCCAAAGGCTCCTATCTCCCTCAGCGAAGGGACTTACCACAAGCGTGCAGCACAGGAACTTGTTCATTGTGGTCTGTGTGAGAAACCTCAGGGAGCTGGGACGCTAGACAGGGAGTTAGTGAAAGCTCCGGTCTCCTAGCAGCCTGCTGCTGACATCCCCCCAACATGAAAGGCACGTTATATATATAGCCCCTGCTCCAACAGGAAGCATTAGCTCAGTTTTGATCACTCATTCCCTGTCCATCACCCTAACTTTTTTTTTTTAAGGAACTGTAAAACTTGATGACTTAATGGGACCCTTTCAGAGCTCACCACAGGCTGGAAAACGTAGGAGGGAGTGTCAGGGGCTGGCCTCTGACGGGCGGTGTCTGCTGGCTGCCTGCCTTGCCCTCTCTCTCTAGGGAGGGGGAGTCACTCACCTTCAGGCAGCGCAAGAGCGAGTCATCGGCGGCCCTGGGCTAATAGGAGACAGGTTTAAAAATATCTCCTCCGTCCAGCCTGCGGTGCAGAGAGCTATAGCGCTTTGCATCTGCTGGTGCAACCTTCCCAAAGCTGTGGAGGACGGGGATCCTGCAGGGCAGGGACCTGGCTGCCCAGTGACTTGCTGCAGTGCAGGGGGTGGATAGGGAACCAGGGGACTCCACTGAGCTCCCCTCCCTTCTAATGCAGGAAAGTAACAAGCCACCTCATCTCTCCCCATCCACCCTGGTTCGCTTTGCCGGGGGCCTCAGCGGTGATTTCCTGGGCCATGAGGGTACCACAGAGCTGGATGGGCCGCCTGCAGGTGTAAAGGTCTCTTCAGCCCCTAGGATACAGGGGAAGGCAGCACAGGGGGGCTTTGCAGAAGGCGTGGGGGAGTGCAGTAGTGGTGGAATTATTTCCTAGCTGTACAGGGCTTGGAACATGCAGAAGTTCCAAGGATAATGATAATTCTTCCTATAAGTGATTCTAGCCAGAAAGGACAAAGACATTCATAATCTGAAAAAAACCAAAGGCGCCAGCTGTGGAACCCTTACACTGGCAAGCACTTGCTCACAGGACTAGCCCCATTGAAGTCAGTGGGGGTCAGCACTCATTCAAAGTGAGCCTGGGTCTTTTCTTCACTACCTTTGACTGAAATTGAAATAGATGGCAGGGTACGTACATATGTGGGTTTTTTTCTGTAGGCACCATAAGCCCCATCCTGCCTTCCTTGTGTGCCCCAAACTTTCGGAGAACTCCCAGGAGCTCCCATTGCTCAGTACCTCTGGAAACCAGGGCAGTTTTGCATGCACAAAGAATGCAGGATCAGAGCCAATTGGAACTAAGAAGATTTCCCTTAAAAAAAAAATAACCAGCAGGAAGTATATGTCCTTCCCGAAACCTGTAGATATTGTGAAAGGGGGAAAGAGTGGGGCTAAATTCTTACATCAGAGACGAGAAATTGGCAAATTTCTTTGATGCCTTGGTTTTAAGTTTCCCTACTTAAATTGGAGATTGTGGTGAAGATTAATTATTTAATGTTTGTGAAACTTATTGAGATGAAATCTTAGTCTTAAAGGTGCCAGAGAGATGCAAAATACTGTTATTCTTCACTCATGCTGACTACTGAAGCACCAAGCCTGTCACTTTCCTTAGGGCCTGTTTAACGTGAATGGGAGTTTTGCCATTGACTTTGGGGAAAAAGTTTCAGCTCTTTAGATCCTAAGTCTTTGGTATGCCCTCTGCCCCCTTCTAGCAGGATCACTTTTTCGAAGTGTTCCAGTTTTCTCATTCTGTCCCTCCATAAAATACACAAAGTCCAAAAATATTTTGGCGAGGACTAAAATCTAATAGCTTTCAAATGCTGGGAGTAAACAGTGGGTCTAAATCAAACCCATGATCCATACCCCAAACTTTTGGGGGGGAACTGGGGTAGAATCCATACCTAGGTATGGATTGACATTTCACATCTCTCTCTTTGTAATGGACCAAAATGTCATACATGGACACTCCAACTTTGGAGTGTTTGAAATCCGGATACCAATTTGGCTCTGAATTTTGCGGCTTTGCCCTATTGATAGTCGGCGCACAGAATTGTGGGGAGTTGGGAAGAACCTGGGGAGGTGAAAGCTTGCACACTGTGTGACAAAAGCTCCTAAGCAGGAAAGGCATTTACACTAAGTAATATAACAGAAGTGACCACTTTAACAGAACAAAGAAAGTGTATCTGAATCCTTCTGCACACATGCAGGAACCATTTCCTAGCAGACATTTTGCCATGATGTTCTTAAATTAGAAATCAATATCCTCAATTACCCCCTTCAACACCTGATATATGGTGTAAAAATCTGAGGAACTTGAACGATGATTTGTTTGTAAGTAACCGTGGGGAAATTGGAAAAAGGGGAACAGAAACCAAGGCACTGAGAAGAGAGGAAATGCTTCTGTTATTTAGCCATGTAAGAGCTAATTGATGATTTATGCACCAGGAAGGTGTGTTGCAACGATTCCTATAATATTTTACTTTTAGGGGTTTCTATTCCCTTAACACATGTATTATCATGTACTAGATCTATATTTTAACCTACATGTTGGCAAGGCACTCTGGACCAGATCCACAGCTGATACATGTTGGCCTAGTTCTGACTTCAGAGGAGCTACACACTGATTCACACCAGCTGAGGCTCTGCCCCTAAATTTCTTCTGGAAACCAATATTTTTTAAAATGGGCTATATTCAGCCACATGGGCCAGCTGCGCCAGAGGGGGGCTTCACAGAGAAGCCAATTTTAAGCCATAATTTCATAGCAGCCTCTCCAGCACCAGCTGCCTACGCCAGGAACTATGGATATGTCTACACTGTAATCAGGAGGTGTGGTTGCAGCTTATGTAGGCATACCCAGGCAAGCTTTGATCTAAGGGTGGTTTGTTTGTATGTGATAGTGGAGAAGCTGGAAAAGGGTAACAGAAACCCTAGCACTGAGAGGAGAGGGCAGGACGCTGTGTACATGCTTGAGCAGCCAGCCTCTGCCACCACCCATGCTACCACAGCTACACCGCTATTGTTACTCAAGCTAGCTTTGATCTAGTTAGAGGAACGCCATCTCAGATATGTCTACGTGTACTGCAATCACACCTCTTTATTGCAGTGGAGACATACCTTAAATCTGGACTGCTCCCCATCCCAACCAGCCTCACTTTAGCCCTTCCTGGGTCAGTCCTGCCCACTTTGGGGATTTTATCATTTAGTTCTGAGCATCCCAGTGAAGCAAAGGCTGCAGGAGGCTTACACTGCTGAGTCCCCTCTCCTGGTTGTGGACAGGAACCCATGATGTGAGTTCGCCCTATGTCTTGAAGGTGGATGAAGTTCACTGCTCCCAACTGAGAAATGCAAAGCACCAAACTCATATTTAGCTCCAGCCTATGACATACTTACTGTTAGTATGAGAGTAGCAGAACAGTGTAACCTGATTTCAATGTAATGTTTTTTCTGCTTTATGGACTTGAATGAAAACTCACTGAAGTCAGTGGGAATTTGGGGAAGTTCTATGGCCTGTGCAATATAGAAGGTCTGATTAAATGATCACAATGGTCTTAGAATCTACGAATCTGTGAATCGTTTCACTTACTTCAGTGAGTATCTTCCCATCTCTAGCTGTCTGCCATGAATACTCAGTCTCTATGGCCCAGGTCCTCAAAAGTAATTAGGGTCCCGGTCCCTACTGACTTCAGCAGAAATGAAATCAATGGGAGGTAGACAACTACATCCCTTTGAGGATCTGGGCCCATCCCAATAAAATGACAAAGCCAATAGGACCTAATGCAAATGTATACTTACTAATATAGCTTAAATTTATGGAGATATCCCATCTCCTAGAACTGGAAGGGACCTTGAAAGGTCATTGAGTCCAGCCCCCTGCCTTCACTAGCAGGACCAAGTACTGATTTTGCTCCAGATCCCTAAGTGGCCCCCTCAAGGATTGAACTCACAACCCTGGCTTTAGCAGGCCAATGCTCAAACCACTGAGCTATCCCTCCCCCCAATAGAATACATACAGTTTATTGTTCAGCACCTATCAGGGTTTTTCTAGGGATGAAAGTCTCTTGTGCCATGTAACACACTAGCACAAAGTTTAAAAAAACATTAAAAAAAACCTGTTTAGCTTAAAGTGTGGTTATGGTCTGAAAAGTGACCATATAAAAATGGCATCTTTTTCCTCAAAAGTTCTGCTCCCTCTGTGTTTTCAGAGTCAGATCTGCTGACATTAGTGAAAAATGTTTTTACTATGTTTCTACTCCCATTATCACTGAAAACCTAACACCATTTTGAGTGAGGGAGCTGGATTCTCTTTGAGGTCACTGATTCTCCCCAGAATTAATGGGGCCAAAGTCTGCCTATTTTGGCCAGGAGCAAAGGAAGGCAGCATTTTGCTGACAGAATCTCTTGCAGGTGGTGGTGCACGAATCAGAAAGCTTTAACTTTTGGATCTCAAGGTGAGACCGTGGCTGGTAAGGGGGAAAAAAATCTTTATACCTGAGCATATTTGATCTGGAAAGCATGGACCAACAATAAATACAGAATCCCACGTTGCCATTTTTAGAGTCGCTTTTCAGAGCAGAACTACAAGGTCTAAACTGCAGTTAGAATGTTTTCACAACTGCCTTAGCACATTCCCACTTTGCCTTTGGGAATTAATTAAGATGTGCTTTGCAATGCATGGAATCATATTACAAGGTAGCAAACCCTGTAATAAAGACTTGTCCACATGACAACCAAACTGCTTTCAGCAGTGTTTTACAAGTATCATGTTTGTGACCACATCCCATAGGAGGGTGTTTGAACAGTTTTAAAATTATTTTTAAAAGTTAATTGCTTTTACTTTACTTTCCTTAAAACAGTTTAAAAGTTGTAGGATGAAAAGAAGCTTACACATTAAGATTTCCTCTTTCTAGAAATAAGTTTAACATCTTCAGTTTGCATAGAAAGAAACCTAAGTAGTTCTTACAGGAAAAATGGCTGGCTTCCATTAAAAAAGTAATCAATAAACAATTATGCAGGGAGCAGGAACTATGGAGAGAGCAGGAAGAAGTAATTGCAAGGGTTGTATCAATACATAAAACTTCTATATTTCATGTTAAAGAGTGAAATCTGTTGCTGTTGTATGTTTTGCTCTAGAATGGTGTGCTTCGAGTGGGATAGCAGTTTATTGGTTTAGTAGTAGTCATAGACCCAGTATCCAGTATTTGTCTTTCCATAGCTCTAATTCTCAGTATTTGTATTACTATTTTGTATGTTATGATTGTTATAAATCTATTTTTCTTCCTGTGCATCATTATAATAACTGGGTCTATAAATGGATTTGCTCTTTAAGCCTGTCTGCTATCTGGAAAAATTCAGAAGTCAAGACCAGTGACTCGGTGCTGGTAGGTGAATGTTGTGACCTTGAGTCATCTCAGGATCTCAATGAGATATTTGTTGAGTTCAATCAACAAACAGTGGGAAAATTCTGGCTTCAAG